TAATCGATAAAGCCATCAAATTTTCCATCACAGTTATTTTGTATCCATTTGATATGATAACAGTGTGATAATCGTGAACCTAATCGATAAAGCCACCAAATTTCCCATCACAGTCATTTTGTATCCATTGGGTACGATAACAATGTGATAATTGTGAACCTAATCGATACAGCCATCAAATTTTCCATCACAGTCATTTTGTATCCATTGGTAATGATAACAATGTGATAATCAATAAGGTTGTGATACGGAACAAAGTACAGTCGTATTAGGTGATAATCGTGTGATAACATATACACGATTGGTTGTGATAATCGTGTGATTGTGGAACCTAACCGAACCGAAAAGATTGTAGTCAGACCCAAATATGAATCGTATCTTGTGAAAATCTTGTGCTACTCAATTCGTCTTTGGGTTAACGTATCACATAATTATCACACTCAAATACGAATCGAGTAGACACGTTAACCTAGTCGAACCGATAGATTGTAGTCGGATTTCTAGTGATAATTGTGTGATACTCGTATCCCAATCGAACCAAACAATCTTCAGATCGAACAACTGCGAGTGATTCATGTTCTAAATATGATAAATTTGTGATAAGCAAACCTTGAATCAGTTGTCTCTGCAAACTTCTCCCTCAAGCTTCTTGTTGTTTGATTTCTTCCTCCTATCTTCTTAGAACTTATGACACCTTCTTTCTTTATTAACCAAGATAACCATCGTATCCCATGATGTTATCAGTTCCTAGATGATAAAAGTCTTTTCTAATCGTGTTTTTTAAATATTATCACTTCGAATTCCAATATTACCCTTTCGCCTCTCAAAACTTTTTGAATTGTTTTTAATATTATTTTAAATTTAAAAAATTCCTTAATTTGATTGTTATCACATTACTTGGTTGGTAGGTTGTGTTCCCGTATTCTCGTAAATCACAAGAGTTCTCATTTGAACATTATGTATGTATATATTATATCTACACATATGTATATACATACATACACACACACATATATACATAGACGCAGGATCGTGTAAGAAAAAAAAGTTAATATGAGAAACGTAATAAGGAATCTCCACCTTTCATCACTTTTAATCTCATTTTCACCCATAAATTGCATTTTGGAAGAGAATTGATCTGGTGCATCACATTCTAATGTGTGGATATCTTTTCTTACGCTTCTCAACGTAACTCTAAAAGTATTGGGTTACCAGATACCATTAGACCAAAAGATCATTTGGTTACGTCAAAATTGGACCCGCACCTTGTACAATTACCCAACGAGATTGAAGGATTCCAAACCCATGATTGATCGATCGATGTCCTTGCGTGCAACCTTTATCGGTCAATTATTATCATATTTTTAAGACGTCTTATTGTCAAACATTATCGACTTAATAATCCAAAAGAGCTTAAAAAGGAGCTTTCCAATTAAGTCTCCAACTAGCTACCAACCTACCACATTGATCAATTAAGTCAACCTATCCCAAGTTGCATGATTTGAGTTCTATTAAGACATGTGCTTTTTTGTCCTTTTTTCAAAAAACAAATGGATACGCTTCCTAATGTGTTAAATAAAGTTTGGCTTTATTCGCATATAATGTCAAGTATGAAAGATTTAGGGAATTACTCGTTTCTGGAGTCTTAAGGAAGCTTTGTATATACAGTACACAAAAAATGTGAGTCGACTAATTCCAGGGTGATCACCTGTTTTGTGGGTAGTCCGGAGTCACCGTATTTGAACATTCGTAGCCACAAGGGGATTTTTATTTCTCTTTGGATTTGAAGCTGTGACCTCCAGACACTTTTAATCTTTGAAAACCAAGCTCAAACCAATTGGGCACCACCATTGTGGTTAGATTACATTAAATTACCATAGATTACAATTGATTCTATCCTATAATTTAAGCGATTTAAAAAGATATACAAAACATGATTATATATATATATATATATATATATATATATATATATATATATATATATATATATATAGG